AGAAACGTGGCAACACCACCAGCACCCTAAACGCGTTGTTATATTGAACTCGAAGGGCGCTGTATGCTTTTAGTGTAAAACGATCCCACAGGCTACATGCGTAGAATGATTGACTATTGGTTTGACTCTGAGTACATTAGTCTCAAGAACTGTCCTGCTTTTGTTTTGGTGTTACAGTTATTTTTAAACATTTCATTTTATTCGTTTTATTGTGGAAATCAATTATGACACCAAAAAATGTACCATCCGAGTAGAAGTAAGTTTGCCAGTTTGGATAGTTCAATTTAAATATTCCCCACCCGTAAAAAGCGCCGTAAAAAGTTATTTTATTTATTTTTCTAATACCTAGCAGAATCATCGTGAGAGCCATGCTTCGGCACAAATGAGATTTTCGGACTCGGATCTATCTAGGGGACTACGGATTCTTTGCTAGAATTTCTTTGCTCTAAAGAATTATGACTAAGCTAAATAATAAGCTTAAAAATAAAATCAACCATTCAACCCGGTCAAATAAGAAAGACTATCCACCTATCCACACTTCGAAGTAGGTCAATGTAATTATAAAAATCACATATTCTGACAATGCAACGATGTCAAAGTAAGTCACAAACACAAAAATTAAACTCTTTATAAAAACTTCTGTAAACACTCGAAAACTTTCTAAATAAAAAAGAACGGATCTCTTTATTCACAGGCAAGTGCTAACTGTCGTCCCAATGTTGTTCTACGAATTGGTCATGTACAAAAAATCGTGAATGCTTATGAAGAGATCTTAATGTCAAGTACAAGATTAACTTCCGGAGATCCTTACAATTACAAAAGGTTTTTATGTGTAAACTAAATAAAGCGGAGATTGGTCGCCGAGTAAGGGATAAAGGTGGTGACTTCCTCTCCAGTTCGTTCCTGGTGCAAAGGATGTCCGTTGCAATTTAGCGAGGCAATGCTGCCAGTATCATGGGAACGTTTCCACCGGAAGCGATGCGGGGTGGGCTATATTGAATTGTACGTATTCATGAATATAGTATCATTGTAATCCTAAAAAAATATACATAAACAAAAAAAATAAAAATAATTCAAAATACAATAAATATAGAGATTAAATAGGGAATGAGCCTTGTTAAACGCTCGACTAGCTTACATGAAATGCCTGATACATATAGACAGAGGCCTGAGTTCTATTGGCCTGCTCCAGTCTGTCCGTTTGTCGACACCTCTCATACCATAAAATTAATATGGACAGACTCGTATAAACACAGACATACACAGAAAGCCATGAAAAGATAAGAAACAAAAAAATATGTTGCTGGAAAAACGATGATAGGTTAACTTATGTTTATACGAGCCATATTCCAAATACTCCAGATTAAATTAGGTAGGTACTCGTTAAATAGATTATGTAATTATAAAATAGATTAGGTAAAATATAACCTACATGTTTTTATTCTAGAAGCTTTTTACCACACATTTAATGACGTTCCAACTCCCAACATAAAGTACGGATCCAATCGCATGATATTATTTACCGCTAGATTGCAGTTGCACGTTTGCAATCGTTTTGCAAAACGCTTAGACGAGAAAGCGCCATTGTTTCCGACCAGCGGTTCGGAACATGTTTACATAAATTAATATGACTACTTGAACATACGTTAGTACACCAGCAGTGAGTAAACGACATGGTTATAAAATTCTATTCTCTTATTTCTAAGTACAATATAGGGCATAACCAGGTAGATAAACAATAACTTTACAAACAATATGAAAAATATACTTATTTATTTGTAAAGAGAGTACTAGTTTTATAGAGTAGTAGAGTACTCCTGCACTAGGAATACATCTTTAGGACTTTACAAACACACATGAAACGGACACAAAAAACGACCAGACTCAGAACAACAATTTCTAGATGACAGAAAGTGTAGTAGGAAGCGGCAAGATGGCCGCTTAAACCACTACGCTATCCGTGCAGTCTTAATATCCATTTACGTCTGTTAATGGCAAAAGTTGAGCTCTGAAGTATCAAGTTCATAAGACGAACAGTGCTTTTTGTTGAACATTTGTTGTAAATAACCTTCTATGAAAGAATTTTGATTTCATTGTATTTTGAAATGTCACTTCCTTCGGAAAGGTATCATGTATATATAAACCATAAAAGGAAATATTTTATTTACTTAATAACTTTTTACTTGTAAAAATGCAATGTACCTACTGATTATGACAAATTTTACGAATGTAATTAACTTATAAATATGTATGTCAATAGAGGTCAGTATTACCACGGTACTATTATAATACAGTAGTGTAACTCGGCCGCATGATAGAAATAAATGCCTACAGCCGCGCGGTACGTAAACATGCGTTAGGGCTGCCCGTCTCCAGCATTTTAATTATATTTGCCTACTTTCTGTTTCTATTTAGATTTGTGATTGTAAATATCCTTTTTATATAAATAAATGAAATACTTTGTATATTGAATAGGAAGTGTTCAATGAAAATGCGTGTTGTTTTTTGATTGGTAGATTTAATTATTTTATTTTCTTTCTGCATTGGAGGAGTTTTTAGTGGTATATGTTGTTATAGTAGCAGCAGAAACACTTTGTGAAAATTTCGAAAACTATCTAATGACACACAGACGGTAAAAAAAAATTCTAGTATTATTCATACACACAGATAATAAACAAATATTATTAAAAATAAAATACCACGTCTTTACTTTGAATTATGCAAAGTAACAAAACACACATGCACCGAAGTTTTAACACAAGCGTAAGTAGGTAGGTACCTACCGTATCATGATTCATTCAGAACCTCATATAACTACCTATTTCACTCGTCTCAATAACTTTCCGTTACTCTATTCGCTTTATTAATTAATCCAAACACCTTTTTTTTCCTAAGATAAAAGGAAATACTTATCCATAAAAAAGACACACATTATGTACCTACCTACTAGTAAGTAAAATTATTTTATAGTCTTACCTTTCAGAGTTTCCAGGTAATTTAAAAAAACCTTATGTTTGGATGCGTTATTGACGAATTCATACAACCAAAAACAGCACAATATTTCCTACTCGTCATATTAACTGATTTTTAGAGAAAAAAAAAATCGCGCGGTTATTGTTTAAAAAAACAACACCGTCCGTTCGACACTGCGGTACAGCCGTGACTGTCTGCGCCCCGAGCGCACCCCGAGATCGAGGCGCGTAGGTATAGCTAGCGTTTCGTCCGTTTGTATGAAGTTGGAGTACTGTATTATAATTGTACCGTGGTATTACTGTTTCCTTAATGTTTGCACATCATTAAACACTACGGTTTTATTTGTCTATCTGTGGTTGCCCTCAAAACTAGAGAACCAAAAACACGACTTCATCATCATCATCATCATCAAAAGCCTTTACTAGTCCACTGCTGGACATAGGCCTCTCCTTAGAAAGGAGGTTTTGGCACACGACTTATATAAACAATACTTATACGAGAGGTAAGTCGGTTAAGTAGATATCAATGAAAACCACTCAGTACAGCTTTTTTGTGACCACGTGGCACATCATAATGAAGGGGTTTTTCTGTTGGACTTTTCCGAACTAAAAACCAACCAACTAATACAACTCTAACAACTTAAAAAAAAGTAAATCGTCATCATCATGAAACTATCGCCGTCCCCCGCTGAACGAAGGCCACCCTCAAAAAGCGCCAACTATTCCGGTCTAGGGCAAAACTCTTTGTTCCCAAGGAGCAGGAGATCCAAAGGGATTTTCCAGTCCGTTCCCAAAAAGGCCAGTCCGAATTAATCGGCTGCCAGCCACTTTTCTGAAGTGGTCGGTCCATCGTACCGCATGTAGTGCTATAATTTAACTAATTCAGTAATTATTGTATTTTACCGTACGGTGACAGAGAAAGAGGACGCAGTGTCACCACCACAATGAAATATTGCGTATCTGCCGGTGATAATCTGCGTATTGTCCCTGTGGTGACGGATTAAGAATACGGAGTATTATCACCACTATTCATCCCGTAGATGTAGTAAGAGCCGACTAAGGGAGCAAAATACGCAGAACAACAGCACTGCATACAGAAGGAAAAAAAACAAACCCGTCTAGCCAGCGTGGTACAGTAGACGAAAACCCCTTTTCTTAGGAGAGGCTTAAGTCCAGCACTGGACTTTTAAAGGCTGTTAATGTATGCAAATACTTTAAGATCATTTAAGGGCACTAAACTATAAAGAAGCACACCTCGAATTGATTTCGATTGCCCTACCATTTTCTCAATTTTATTTGAGGTTGGTGCAATTTTAAACGTTGAAAAGGGTTTGGTTGGTTGTTTTTATGGCCGAACCGCCAGCTTAATGCTAATCCTTGGGACTCTAAACGCTTATAGACGAGATAAAAAAAGGTAAGTTATTGTAATAAAGGAAGGGTCCCTTGGACATCGATGACATTTCTGTTAAATTTACCTAATACTACTAATGTGGAAAAAAACTTTAGACTATTTTTTATTAGTAAATATAAAAAAGCGAAATGAATCTCAGTTCAATTAAATCCTGTGCCTTTCTAACATTGGGGTATTTCCGGACAGAGGCTTGAAATTCGGACTTGAAAATATACCCTATATATATTATGTACATACTTTATACTATTAAGCCCACTCTTTCTACACTAATTAAACAAAAATAGCAAGAAAATGTAGTTTGACATATATAAATCGACATTCCAAAACAAAGCCTTACGGTTGGCCCTGTTAAGTCTTGTAACAGTTATAATTTAGGCATATTTTAACGATACACTTAATGCTGCTAAAAAAACAAATATTATTTTCTTGCAAATGTTTTATGGCAAAGAAAGTATGTTGACCGGTGCGAGCTCATCTTATATTAAACAAAAGCGGTCCTCACACGCAAACCACAACAAGACGCGACCTCGGCGCGTGCGCACGATTGTCGCCGCAGCAACGCGCGCGAAACAAACAAACGTCAAACGTGAAAGAGATTTTTCAATCATAGAGTAAAAATGCGTGCAGTGTTTTTATTTTGTGTTTTTGTGTACGTCGTGGTGGGACAAGACATCAATGATATGGTCAATATGCCGAAATATGATCAGAGATACGATTATTTGGATGTCGATGCCATTTTTAGTAATAAAAGACTAGTCAGAAATTATGTGGATTGTTTAATAAGCGCGCAGCGTTGCACGCCTGAAGGAAAAGTGTTGAAAAGTAAGTGGAAATATTTTCTAAACTGTGTCTTGAATTAAGAATAGCTGCATATGGATCATTCGACTGAATTATCCCATAACAAAAGTCCAGGACCATCGACGTTGAACTTCTATAGTTATATTTGTGTTTTTGAACGTCAAAAATTTATAAACACATTTTTTTAAGTCTGTGCAAAAATATCAACTCTATTACATACAATTTTGAAAGTGGATCATTCATATCATGGGCTATTAGAGTGTTCATTTAGAAAACTGTAAGCGAGTGAAGTTGAACGGTCTTAAAAAAAATAACGAGCAATAGTCTTTGTTGACATGTATCAGTCATATCATAGGCGGTGCACATAATTTGATGTGTAGCCTTAATAATGCGTAATTACGAATATTTAATGAATTCATTCGGTTATATCAAATTATTACCTTAACATGGCAAGGTTAATTTCGAAATTTCAACACATATGTTGAGCAGAAGTATATTTGTATTACGATACATTTTTTAGGCATTTTTATAACTTAATGCACAAAATGTACTCAGAGGGAATTAATGTACACCAGGGACTTCCTTTCTAGGGTATACCTGGTTCCCCGGCTATTAGTACCCAAGACGGCATGCGGTTTTAGTCGGTTCGAGTCCGACATGGCATGGTATCCTTTCCGCACGAAGAAAAAAAAAATAGGTGGTATCCGAGGGGATTTCCGCACGGAAAAAAAAAGGGGGGGAATTAATGCTAAACCCTATACCTACTAGTTTACCCTAGGGCGAAGAAGAAATAAATAAAGGAGTTGCAATAATTTAGGTATAAAATATTTTGAAAGACACATTTCTGTGTTTCTAAAGGGCCGGTTTTTCAAACCTCAGCTATACTGTCAGACAACTAACTTGGGATTAAAATTATCTCGCTGTTTATCAAGCGAATAAACTTTTCTGTTTTTCAATCGGGTGTAAACCATCTAATAGTTACCTGATGGTCTTTCATAGCTAAGTTCACTGTAAACATGCGCAAGCGAGATGCAGCTTTACAGTTAGTAACACGTTAGATACGTATACACGGATTACAAGCTATTAGACAACATTTGTGTCATTTATTTCTTGTTTTTGCGTATCTGTCAGATAATAAGACAACCTTATTGACAGTGGTAGCGACGGTGAACGATAGTGTATTGTTCTGTGTAACGGACTGCTACTCGAAAGGTCACGGGTTCGATGCCGGCAATTTTTAAATTTTGTCTCTGTCTTCCTGTATATAATATGTATGTACTTACAACAAAAAAAAAAATAGTATATCCATTTATATCAGTTGCCTAGTACCTATAATACAAGCTCTGAGTTTTTAGTTTGGGACTATATGGTGTATACTCAATAAGTTCAACGTATGTAAACTTTACTACAACAAATATTAGAGAAGGTAAACAAATACACAAAAGTCAAAATCACTATTCTACAGATAATATCACTAACTGAGGCGTGAAATAGCAGATAGAATTATTCCTCGGATTAAAGCTTTATTCTTCAGATAATAACTACCTGATCATTGAAAAATCTCAAATTACGCTAACTGCGGAATAAATGCTATCTAACTGTTTATCTGAGGATTGAAAAACCGGCTCTAAGAGAAATGAAAAGTAAGATAACAAATATTACATCGTTACTTGTATAACTTTTTACATAAGTTATTACAACTTATAGACGATTTTCACCTCTTTGGATTTTAGCGATTATTACTGTATAAATAGACCATAACTCTATTGAATAATAACATGTTTACATATTATTATTTTTGTATTAAGTTTGTATTCCCTTAATAAGCCAACTCATAATTATTTTTCTTTTAAAAAGTGTCTCAAACTTCAATGCGCAATATAACTCGTTTCTGTTATTTTTTCACACTTAAACGTGAAAGAATTTGGGTTAAAAATAAATACACAAAAAGTGGGTGACAGTAAAGAGATCTTCAAAAGTTACCGAAACGACAGATTGACGTTCAGTTGTTTAGTTTTAATTGTATTATAAATGTTACATCCAATAAAAGTTTGTCTGTAAAACTGTAAAGGAAAGTTTTCGTCTCATTTTATTCATTAGCAAACCCGGGCGAAGTCATGGCGGGCAGCTAGTATATATTAAAATTAACCTAAATAAGATTAAAACGTAACATATATAATTATATTAGCATAACTTACTATCAATTATCAATTTTTTTGTTTATCCATCCAGTCATCATCAACATCTTCTTCCTTCACTTTTTCCAAATTTATTTGGGGTCGGTGCAATAAGTTTTCTTCTTATATTCTCCTTCCACTCTTCTTCGACATCCTTTTTCACGCTGTCCTTCATTTCACTGCGAAATGGTTTTGACTTTGACTTTACGGTCGGTCATTTGCCTGACAACAAGCCTTCTTTTGAATGGAATCGGTTTTCGTACATACAACATCTAGGGGTTTTTCCTATTGTCAAACCAAACTGCTTCACAGCCTTTTTCTGCAGGACAGCTGTTATCAAAATAACATCGCTTTTTCCCTTAGGCAGATGTGGGTTCAACCAGACATTTAAGATAGTTATTTTGAACATTGTTGTATATGTATACTGTTGTATACCGTGTTTATAAATAAATAAATAAAATTAATATTCTTTCCATTAAAAAAGCCACATTTGATTAACTTGAAAATGTTTGCTCATTGTTCTTGAAATCATTTTAAAGTATCAAATCTTATCGTAAATCGTAAAATTCTTATTGAGTAGTTCCGGTAGCTATTGTGGTCTTCATCGACACTTTCACTTTAACAAATGTTGCTTTCAGAGAGCGAATGCACGAATTACTATAAAAAATATTGCTATAGATAGCGATAGATATAAACGCTATAGAGAGATCTATAATATTTGAAGAGTTCCCTCGATTTATTCAAATTTCCATAAGACCTGAAGGCAAATTCTCGAAACAAAAGTTCGGTCACAATTCAGTTCCTATCAACTCTCGATCTCATAACTATCATACAAGGCATTTTCGAAGTAACCTATTAAACATCCAACGTTAACTGTAATGTGATTATATCGTATTGTAACCGAAAATTTAATCGATAATCTGCTATCTTAGTAATATTTTACTACGAAAATACCTTTTATGACAGTTGTGAGATCAAGAGCTGAGCAACTAAATTGTGACCGAACTTTTATTACGAGAATTGGCCTTCACATTATAATTTTGACTCAAATCTTGAATGCAAATTCAGACTGTGACTAGTTTGCGGATGAATTGCAGACGATTATGTCAGTATGTCTGGTGCGCTGCAAAAAGTGTGCGTCAGAAGGAGCGCAGTTTTATATTGTAAATAGATGAAGTTGTATTATAGTACAGTTTATTTTGTATTAATGTTATTCCCTTAATTAGTGTAAGTGGCCGTTCTGATTAAGAATAAACAAGTAAATATGTAAATAAATATTGGGCTCAACTAGTTAATTTACCTTTTTAAACAAAAAAAAATCAAATCGGTCTAGTCGTTTTTGAGTTATCAAGCAAGATACATAAAAAAATGAATCAAAGCGAATTGCGAATATCTTCATTTTTCTAAAAAAAAACCAGTAGTTTTTTTATGACCGTGCCCGACCAGGTACTAGGCAAAACCTTAGATAGTACTGTAAAACAATGGTATAGTAACCTGATATAATATTATTCTCTCTACCACAAGCTGCTAAAGCCATTAGGAAATTTCCTTCTAATAATTATTATATAGTAAACAAACACAGTGATTATGATAAAATAATTCATAAATGAAAAGAGGCCTAATACACTAAATACTGAAGTACTGCATTATTTTTCTGTCGTTTATAGTGCCTTTAAGATATATAGGTGCCTATAAATTAGCATAAATCATGAATAAAACTTTAAATAGACCAGGTAATGTAGCATTCACAACCTTCACTTGCATATGAAACAAACTAAACATACATTGGCATCAGTCTGACTATATCTTTATTTAGCTATAAACAGGTTTAGAAAACCATTATAATAATATGTTCAATTTAATTGTAGGCTAGAATACCTACTTTTAATTGTCGCGATACAAGGAATTAACTTGTTTTATGTTGTATAGGAATCATCATTATAGGTCCATGTATATTCATGTAATGCAGCTGCATTGTGTAATAATATTCAATTATGTTAAAGTACGCATAGTCTGACTGATATAACATTGAATTGTATGTATCTACTAGTAAATTATAGAGTTCCGTACATTAAAAGTAAACAAGGAACTTCGTTTCAAAAACGGGATCTTATACCTTGGGTTACACTAGAAAAGAAGAACTGTGGATTAGCTGACACGAGTTAATGTCAATTTTTTTTAGGTATTTTGAATTGAATCGCCGTTGTTCGAAAGTCGCTACTTATTTGTCTTACAGAAGTTAGCTATTTTTGCCACGCTTTTAATTTTTTACTTGTGACTAACTAACTATTTAAACAAACCTTGGAAGTTTACGCTACTTCTATGTAGTTAAAATGGCAATATCATAATTTTAGTATCTTAGAGCTTATCTGATGATGCACACCGCAGGTGGAAAACAGAACTCTTTTGTGTCAAAACCATTCGAATTTGGGCTCATATAACTTGTTTTGATAGTCCAACAGATTGGGATTAGTAACAATATTTGGATTATGAGGCCAGAAGAGGTGAATAGTATTTTTCTTCACCTTCACTTAATTCACCTTTTGATTGTTACTTTTTAATTTAATTGTTAACAATTCTTTTTTTAGGAGTTTACAGATCATTCCTATTAGAGTTATATTATCTGTGATATTGTATACACTAGTGTCATGGACAAGAATGTATTAAGAGGGGGATTACTTCACACATACTAGTTATTGACGTTCAAGAGCCAGTGATCCACTTTGGCGAGTTTTGCAACCACATGGGAATAAAACTACTTATTTGTAATAAATGTTTTGTGATGGATTGATAGATAAAATAGTAGAAAATGTTTATTACAGACGCAATTATGTACGAATTTTCTAA